TATTATAATACAAACATAACACGAAAAATAATTTCTAAATATTATAAAATAATCAATTTAAATAACTAAATTATATCCCCATAATATATATTCCGCAAAATATATACAAAAACGTATCCTAAAACAAAAAAAATATTAAAGTGTAAAGATCACGCTGTGCACTTGTGTTTTGGCAGTTCGAACTGTTTTTGACCTTCACTTACCGTCGTTCCCTCTCAAGACTGGGAGGGCAGTTGAACGAAGGAGTCGCGCAGGTTGAGGTAGTCACCATCCTTGGAACCATCTGCAGCCGATGTCGTTGGTGGCATTCTCAAACAAGTAGCCAAGACCGAAAGGGCTCTTCAACGAGGAAACAAAAGAGCTCGGCCAAGTGTTCGTGACAAAGGACTTATGCAGAACCTCGTTCTTCTTCGCGCAAAGGACTCGGAGCCCCCCGGAGGAGGCTCCGCTACCAATGCGAAAAAGGCAGCAGCGGCACCCGATGTCCGCAAACACGAAAACAAGAGGGCGCACTGAAGCGCCGCGGCCGCGCCTTTTGCAAGGCCACTGTTCAGTGGACAACCCCAGGACTACAAAGAGTACAGAAAGAGGCTGATGCTCTACCACCACAAGATGAAGATCAGCAAGCGCTCAGCCGAGTCCGTCCTGAACATCCTGGGAAGTTTTCAGGGTGTGACGTGGTGGTTGTTCGAGGACTTCTCAGTTGAAGAGGCTGAGAAAGAGGATGGCTTCAGCAAGATCATCACCAAGCTCGACAAGAACATCGAGTATGACGATCGTGTGCTCCTTCCGAATGACTTTGAGGAGTACTTCAACTTGTTGCAAAGGAAGCCACAGCAAAGCCTCCTGTCCTTCGTCACCGACCATGACACCGCCTATCGTCGTTTGACTGCCCACAATGTGACTCTTCCAGTCCAGGTTCAAGGATGGCATCTACTCCGACGTGCTGCTTTGTCAAAGGAGCAACGTAGCGCAGGTCTCTGTTGTCGTCGTTGTCCTGATGATAATTGAAAAAGGAATTTTGGTGAAAGTCACAATGAATTATTAGTTATATTTTTTATTTTATTGATTATAGATTTATGATTTGCGAAAAATATTAGTCCAACATAGATTCCAGAACGCAAAAAAAAAAGATTTTGCCAAGGTTGCACCCTACAGGATCGTGCAAAAGGCCAACAAATTTTGCATGGTCGAATAGAAATGCGTGAATAGAAATGTTGCATGGTCGAGGAACAAACGCGCACATCAGCAGGACAGAGCTGGAAGGAAATGAACAGAAACGCTGCATTGCGTGTCCAACCACCACGATGGCCAAAGTGCTGTATCTGCAGCAAAATGACTATGAAAAGTCCAAAACCTGAGCGAATTCTTTGGCGCGCTGAGGACACTTTGCAGCCAATTGCCCATCCACTGAGCAGACAGGCGGATCCTCTCCAAAAAAACGGGTGATCGACCTCGAAGACCCACTGATTGTCATGGTCATAAACATCGAGCATACTCCCAATGTCGTTCTATGACGTCGAGGCCGCCCAGGTTGAAGGTGAAGTGCTGGCTGACGAATGAGAGACCAAGGTGCAAGCTCCCTCCTTTTGTATTGGTTCTAAGTACGCTGTCTCATCTTGAAAATCCTTCAAGATCGGGAGCGATTCCTCCGGCCACTCACGATGGATGGTCGAGCTCGTGGTCAGAATTTCTGGCCATCCTGGGCATATCTAAGCCTGCATGATCCATGGCGCCGCGCAAATGCTCGGCAGTCCTCTATTGGAGGCATTTCCATCAAAAGTGAATGGTACTCCAGGCTCCAGTGCAGAGTGATTCGGGCAGTCTAGATGATAGTGGGAAAGGTTGGGTCTGAAGGATTTTAAGATGTCCACCACAGATTTGTTCCAAGAAAAATTTAAGCAATATTTAGGGAGTGCAATATATAGAGAAGTAAGTAAAGTGGATGCAAGATCACATTCATACATAAAGCAGATTGCCTGTACCGTTCGCATCCCCAATGCAAAAAAGAGAGTAGAGCGTGAGCAACTTTCGTAGGAGGGGAACAATTTTTTTTCGGTTCTTTTTTTAAACATCATGATTTTTTTTGAAATTTTAAAAAGAGTTTTTGATTTTTGAAATATAGGATGTTTGTTTTTTTCAAGATTGTTTATTATAATTAATTTTCATAAAATGTATAGATTGTTATTTTCTTTGGTAGTTTTTTGATAGGGGAAAGGAAATTAATATTTAGATTGTTGAAGTGGGCGGACGTGAGTGATTAATTCGTTTTTATTGTTGTTTATGTGTATTTCGATTGCAAAGGTTTGTTATTGATAATTGCGTAATTTTAGTATTGTGTGTATGTATAAAGGAAATTTAATGGTTTAAAGTCGGATTTTTATGATATATATAAGGAATAGGAATTCTTTTTTTCCTCCTCTGGTTCCAAGTTGCGCTGGGTCAGATCGGAGATCTAGCAAACCAATAAATAACTGAAAAGAGTTACCAAGTCCCCAGCAAGCCAGGACGTTGCCGACCGATTGAGGAGCCAGCAGATCTCCCTTCAGTCAGACATGACCTTCTAGGCCATTGGCTGAACAACAAATGCTTGCAAATATGCGATCAACCGATCGGGTAATCGACGCAATCTGGCCGATATGATCCCCACCTCGCAAATGATGATGGTGCAGAGGATGCAGCCGTGCTTTGAGATGGCTCTGGACTTCGCCTTCTCTCTTGAGATGACGTTCATTCTCGTCGTTCTACTGATGACCACGGTGGGATGGAACATGTGGAGAAAACTTGGAGGTCGTGCTTCAAGCATCCTTCCCAGAAAATGAGGAGGCACTCCAAGGTGCCTGAACTTTAAAAAAATTTGTCGGCCCATACCGTATCTGTCACTCCAACTGCAGGCGCCACCACAGGCAGCTCCTCGGAATCCATCTATTTTGTGGATGACGGTGCCATCTTCCAGATAGCCTCCGAAGACCTGTGGCTCATTCTCGATGCCCTGACTGTCTCCCACCCTGAGCCTCCCATAAATGCAGAGTAGGCAGTGTCCTGCAAACAACCTGTCCTTCCTGCATAGGAAACACCCGTCCTGCCAACACGCACTCGAGGGCCATCACCTAATCGACAATCAAGGCATCTCTCTGCTTCATTACCCTTTTAGTCATCTAGCTCCGATGCGATGAACCTAGCACTCTCCAGGATATCGTCCACTCCTTCAAGCTGGATGGTGCGCTTGCAGAAAGCCAGTGCGTTCCTGAAGCTAGTGGCCCTCGTAGCTGGTTGTAGCCCATTTCACATACATCATCATTGCGCTCAGCCTGCCTTGCAAGGTGCTATTCTTTTTACGTGCAAATACGTCCTCCAACACTTCCTTGCCACTTTGATCTATCATCCCTGCAGCCTTGCAGAAATTCCTGGCCTCATTTATGATTATCAATCAGTCACCAAGCATTTTCTACCTGTCATCTGCTTCGACTTAGCCCCAGGAAGGTCTCATTCTATCCGTCCTTTTAGAGCTGACCAAAATCTCGATCGTATTGTCCTTTATACTGCTACTCTTCGCGACCTCGTCCACCTATTCCATAGCGCCCACGTCTTCATATTCTCCTTATTCATGAAAGGGTTTCCCATGACCTGGAAATTATGTTTTAGGACCAGGCCAACAAAGCCCTTTTCCCAGGGCATTTTAAGCTCTTGAGGAAATTTGTGTTTAAGCTTCTTCATTTCACTCTGGATCTTCCGCTAACCTGAGGGCATCCTGGATCAACTACCCTCTTTAAAGGCCATACCTGCTAGACGAGGTTCTTCAAAACCTCCAGGGGGCTCTCGACAACCATCTCCACGTCCGGCGCGTCTACCACCTCGGTTAGAGACCCTAATTTTGGCACCACATCGAGGCGAGTATCGCCTTATATGTCACATAGTTTCATAGCAATAACCTCCCTAACCCGATCCACCAGCTCTTAAAGACTCTCTAGCTCCTCCTCATCCAGACGTATAAATCCCCCTCTCCCGTGTCCTCATTCCCCACATAAAAGGGAATTTTTATCATCCAATTCCATTTCACAAGACAATAAAACACGATAAAAGGACATTTAAGGCCAAAATAACACATATACGCAATTATTCAACACATATATTTAAAAAAAAGGATAGGTAACGAAAACTAACAAAAATACATTCGGACTAATAAAACATCAAACAAGCGGAATGAAGCAAATGCTCATAAAATAAACATTATAAATATATAAAACGTATAAATAACAATAATATAATCAATTTTAAAATTAATATCCCCGATAATTAAAGAAGCGTAACTAGAGTTTATCGCACTATTCGATACATTTAATGTGTTTACGAATCTATAAGTTTATTAAATCTATTACACCAAATCCCAAAACCTCCACGGAAGAATTAAACCAATATAAATGCCATAAAAAGTATTCCAAAGGCAAACTAAATCTATTTGCATAATTTATTTGCTTTCTTCTATCGATATCGCTATCATAAATATATAAATGAATTAAATTTATTACACCATATCCCGAAAAAATTAAATCAAAATAAATATCATAAAAATTGCCCGAAAAGTGTTCCAAAAACGTCCGAAGCAAAAATTAAACCCACGAAAAATGGAAAAAAAAAAGAAAAGGTCCCCTTCCCCCTATATATAAAAATTTCATTTAATATAATAATCCCGAAGATTCCAATCCCTCACTTACGAAAACAAAACAACTCCAACTAAATAATACTAGCTTTCATAATACAATTTCTTCGTTTTCAAAAAGTACCATCATTTCATGACGGAATTAATATCTATATATATTATTATCCTCATAAAAACCGAAATTTCTGTAATTTATACCATTCTAAAAAAATACATATGATATATTTTTACTTATTTATATATATATATATTTACAATTTCTAAAAACAACAAAAATTCTTAAATATATATTAATAAACATATAGATTACATTGTAATAATGTATATAAGTCATTTTTTTTGTCAGGCTCCAATTGTTCATCGGAGGTCTATTATCCTTGGAAAATTAAATTTATGTAATCAATCAATCAACAAGTCTTGTAAGTGTCCGTTTTATTCCAATGATTAACAGAACAAAAGCCAACTTCAATCCTCATCTTGTCCATCCAATTTTCTGAATGGAATGAAGAAATGATGTGCACTTACTTAACAACCCACAATGTTTGTCACTCTTCATCCACCAAGGCGCAAGAGGTGCATCCGGTGAGCTTGTAGATCGAAGTGGTCTGACGAAGCTATAGCTGGTAGATCCAGCCGTGACGCTTGTGAATGCATTGAAATCTGCTTTCAGAAACGGTGATCAAACGAGACAAAACAAACATTTGGACATATTTGAAGCTTCCAAAGACCTGCAGTTTGGAAGAGAAAAACTAAAGACTTCTCTTCCTGCATGTGCTAAGACCAGCCTTGTCACCGCTGCAAGCTCCCACTTTTGCGTTTCCTTGGCCAAGCAAATCCCTTATTAAATGGGCCGAGCCGCGTACCACAATCTTGCACACAAAAAAACCATTGACAGAAAACATCAAAAAATGCTACACAATTGTATGACCTCTTCAATTTCCTACAACAAACGGCAGTCCTGACTCCAACGAACTTGCAATTCTCCAAAATAAGCATTTGCCTGGGTCTGAGCCCCCTCATCAAACCTTTTATCTACACCCACTGATGTCGAGAGACCGCTATATCCAGGGGCACATTTCACCTGGACCTGGAAATTGTTCAGCTGCAGGTTGGTTTCCGTCAGCAAATATCCCTTCGTCACCTGAAAAGTTCAAGGAGCAATCACCCTACAGTTGGTCAGGCCGTGCAAACCAAATTGAGGAAACTTTCACCATGGAGCGTCATGCTTTCCTCGATCAAAACAAGCAAATCAACCAACTCGCAACACGCATCCCATGTCCTTGTTGTTTGTCCAAATGAAACGCACTCTCTTGATAAGCATGCAAGTGGAGAAACCATTGAAAGGAACGGTAACTCCCAAGCAAAGAAAATACATACAAAGTATTTGTATTCAGATTGCCTATTCAAAAGTCTGGGCACTTTGCAAGTCTAACGCAATCGCAGTTGAACAGACCTGAACTTCTCCTCCCATCAGACTCCACACACACACACACACACACTGAAGTAACTTCTCCCCCCATATGGTGAAAGCGAAATGGTCTTGGACTCACAGTTTTGATTGGATTATGAATGCGCACTGCGCGTGAAGCGCTGACTGCGAACCTCTGGCGCGATGCAAATGTAGTTGTCAGGCACGGGAGTGCAACCGGAGACGCTGTAGATTGTCTGTGCCTTGCCACTTGTTCCACCATTGTTTGACTACAGAAATGGAAAAGAAAAAACAAACAGTAGAAGAAAAGGTCTAATGGTCTAAATAAACAAAGAAACAAAGAAAACACCGTGTGCGCCTGATTGCCCGAGCATGCAGTGGCGGTGGCAATGCCTGACAGCTTCACTGACGTCACCCGAGCTGCAATGACACCAAACCATTCAGGGTACCTCTCCTGTACCTTTTCGAAACACAAAGTCCAATGCACAAGCCGTCAATCTAGTTCCATCTCTCTATCTTTGGTTCTAATTTTGAATTCACAACTTCCTCTGGGCCATGGAGAAGTTTCCCTAAACATCTAAGAACCAAATTGATAGTGCGAGCTTCCTGGAAGAAGCGTAAGCTATGCTAGGAGCTTACTCCCTTGCTTAATTAAATAGGGCAGGGGGGAGGCTAAAAAATAAGGATTTGACTTAGCGAGGACGCTACTAGGGGTTCCTGGCCTTACTAGGAACAAGAAGCTACTAGGAGCAAAGGGCATCGCTACGAACGGAGCGATCGGACGCTACTAGCAGCCAAAGACTGACCGAGGTGCCGGTGAAACCAGGGGCACAGGAGACCTGGACGTCAAAGGTGCCGTGTCGCAAATCATTCTCGGTGATCAAATATCCGGTGCTATCCTCGAGAAACGAAGCATGGCATGTCCTCCACTCCTGTTTCTTTGCTTTGGGGGGTGGGCGTTTTTTTCTTGCTATTAGTAGCGATGGCCTCCAACCTTGTAGCTTCTTGCTACTACTAGCAATGCCCTTTACCACGACACAAGAAATCATAATCAGACTGGGAAATCCGTCCTCAACTGGCACTCGTCGGCCAGAAAACTATTGAATGCTGACAAAGCATCGTCGGGTGCCACGCAAAAGACCTGAGTGGTGGTGGTGGTCGTACTGGTGATAGTAGTGGATGTGGATGTGCTGGTGGTTGTGGTGACCGTTGTGGTCACTGTGCTAGTGGATGTGGTGGTGGTTGAGGTCACCGTCGAGGTGCTAGTGGTCGTAGTGGATGTGGAAGTGGTGGTTGTGCTGGTCGAAGTGCTGGTTGATGTGCTGGTGGAGGTCTCCGTGCTCGTTGTAGTAGTGGTCTTTGTGCTTGTCACGGTGGAGGTGCTGGTGGAGGTTGTTGTGGTCGATGTCTTGGTTTCTGTCGTTGTGGAGGTTATAGTGCTCGTCACTGTGGTGGAAGTCTCAGTCGAGGTGGTGGTAGATGTGCTGGTGCTGGTTGTGGTTGTACTCGTTTCCTGAGTGCTTCAAACTTCGGAACATCAAACATCATCGAACAGTTGGATACGTTTGCACTTCCCCGCCTTTCCGTCATCACCAATGTGTGCTTCTGAGCATTTGGCACTTTTCTCATTTGGAAACCACTTTAGTAGCTTCTTGCTTCTAGTAGTAAGGCCAGGAGCCCCTAGTGGCTTCTGGATTCAGTTCTAATTCAATTCAAATTAATATTAGATTAGTTTTAATTCTAATTCTATTGAATTCTTGTTTCCAATAGCAACCATTGCTCCTAGTAGTAAGGCCAGGAGCCCCTAGTAGCATCCTTGCTCCTAGTAGCGATGCCCTTTGCTCCTAGTAGCGAACATTGCTCCTAAACGATTTCGCCCAGGTCTCTGTGGAAGTACTCGTGGAAGTGGTGGAGCTGGTGGATGTGCTGGTCGTCGTGGAAGTCTCTGTAAGGGTCGTGGTGGAAGTCGTTGTGCTGGTCTCCGTGCTGGTTGAGGTGGTCGTTGTGGTGGACCTCGGTGGGGTGGTCATGAAGCTAGGCAGAAAACGCGAAACTGAACCAATCAAAACCAAAGCGTCTTGTATGGAAGCTCTGTCAGCTTTGAACTTAAAGTCAATCACATTCTCTAAACGTAGTTTAAGAAGCTACCAGGGGCTCCTAGCATCGCTACTAGGAGCAAGGACGCTAGTAGGGGCTCCTGGCCTTACTACTAGGAGCAATGTTTGCTATTAGAAACAAGAATTCAATAGAATTAGAATTGAACGAATCAATCTTTCAAATTCATGTTCAATCTCTTGAGCTCGGTGGCGTAACAGTGGTTGATGTCACAGTTGATGTGGTCGTGCTGGTCTCTGTCTTAGTCAATGTCGTCGTCGATGTCTCAGTCTGAGTGCTTGTGCTGGTAGTAGTAGTGGTCGACTGGAATGTCGTTACTGTGCTTGTGCTGGTGGAGGTTGATGTGGTGGTGGTGCTTGTTGAGGTCACGGTGCTTGTGCTAGTAGTGGTTGTTGTTGTAGTGACAGTAGATGTAGATGTCGTGGTGGTGGAAGTAATGGTTGAGGTGGACGTTGTGGTTGTAGCAGTGGTTGTCGATGTGGATGTTGTGGTGGTGGATGTGCTTGTAGAAGTAGTGGTGGTGCTGGTAGCAGTGGTGGTGAGTGTTGAGGTTGATGTTGTTGTGGTGCTTGTAGTGGTTTCCGTGGTCGTCGTCTTTGTGCTGGTTGATGTTTGTGTGGTGCTTGTTGAAGTGCTTGTGGTCGTTGTGCTAGTGGTTGTCTCTGTGCTTGTGGAGGTTGAGGTAGTGGTTGTGCTGGTGGTTGTTTCTGTCGTGGTGGTAGTGGTGGATGTGCTTGTCGAGGTCTTTGTGGCTGTGGATGTTTCAGTTGAGGTGCTGGTCACCGTGGATGTCTGCGTGGTGGTGGTCGTGCTTGTCACTGTGGTGGTGGTTGCAGTAGTTGTGGACGTCGAAGTCTTGGTACTGGTGCTGGTCTCAGTCTCTGTTATGGTGCTCGTCGACGTCACTGTACTAGTGCTGGTGCTGGTGCTCGTTTTCGTCTCTGTCGTGGTTGTGGTGCTGGTGACCGTGCTCGTGCTGGTGGCCGTGAGGGTTGTGGTGGACACTGTGGTAGTCGTGGATGTCATGGTCTCGGTGCTGGTGGTGGTACTGGTGACAGTACTGGTGGTGGTAGCAGTTGTTGTGGAGGTCTCAGTTGTTGTGGTTGTGGTTGAAGTCACAGTGCTAGTCACGGTGGTGGTGGTCTTGGTGGTGGTTGAAGTTGAGGTCGTTGTTGTGGAGGTGCTGGTCGTGGTGGTCGAAGTGGTCGTCTGTGTTGAGGTGGTGGTGGTGGTCGTCACGGTGGTAGTGCTGGTCGTAGTGGTACTTGTGCTGGTTTCTGTAATGGTGGAGGTTGTGGTGCTGGTAATGGTAGAAGTTGTGGTGGTCGTTGTCGTGGTGGTAACAGTACTGGTGCTTGTGGTCGTTGTGCTCGTGGAGGTGACTGTTGTCGTAGATGTTGTGGTGGTCGTGCTGGTTTGGGTCTCTGTAACTGTGGTTGACGTGACTGTGGTGGTTGACGTCACAGTTGTAGTTGTAGTAGTTACAGTGGTCGTGCTGGTCTTTGTCGTCGTCGTAGTCGTCGATGTGATTGTCGAAGTGGTGGTTGTCGAGGTGTGTGTCGACGTGGTCGTCGTGGTAGTTGTCACTGTAACGGTGGTTGTGGTTGAAGTCACTGTGCTCGTTGAGGTTGTCGTGGTGGAAGTCGAGGTGATCGTGGAGGTTGTGGTCGTCGTGGTTGCAGTGGTAGTGCTGGTGGTCGTGGTGGAAGTGGTCGTTGATGTGATGGTGGAGGTCTTCGTTGTGGTTGAGGTGGTGGTGGTCGAGGTGCTCGTTGTTGTCGATGTCTTGGTTGAAGTGCTGGTGGTCGTTGTGGTTTTAGTTGTCGTTGACGTCACTGTGGTTGTTTCCTTCGATCAGGGTGCGAGGCGCGAGGCCGAAAAGAACGCTGCTACTTGCGAATTGTCCCAATCACTTGAGGAGGTGACAAAAGCTTCTCAGCACTCCATCTTTGAGAAAAGCACCTCTTTGTCCCCTCTTTGTCAACACTTCTAATAGCTTCTAACAACTTCTTGCTCCTAGTAGTACGGCCAGGAGCCCGTAGTAGCGTCCTTGTTCTTCCCATTACATTTCTCAACACTTCTCACTTCCGAACTTCGAGCTTTGGGAATCTCAACACTCTTTCTAAATGAAGCTCACCACTCTTCCTGTGGAAGTATGTCGGTGATGAACTCAACTAACTCTTGGTTTGCAATTTTTGAAAAGAACACATCAATTCTTCACCCACGGCTCTGTGGTGGTACTTGTGGTGGTCACCGTGGTCGTTGTAGTGCTGGTGGTGGTGGTGGTCGGCACATAGACACAGCCGCTCAGGCCATAGGCTTCTCCATCTTTGGAGCACTTCGAGACCTAGAAGTGTTCAAAGCGAGTGCAAACCGTCGTGAGTTGTTCAACCCATTGACAGAAGTTGGTACCACTTGGGTTATTTTCCGACCTTTGGACCATTCTGTCTTCTTTCTTTCCTTTCAATTAGGGAGGGGAGCGGGCTAAGAAAACACTTGTTACTAGTGGCCTCCAACCTACTAGGGATGGCCTCTTTCTTCTTGCGCAAGTGGAGTCCTCTCACCTCACACCTCACTGCTCCAAGAGACCAGCGCCGTCCCAGCATAGCCCTCCTCGCACTCTGCGTGGACGCTGAAGCTGGTGATCTCGGCGCTCGCCTTCGGCATCTGCAGCTTTGGAAGATATTAGAAACAAGAAGCTATTAGAAATATATATATATATATATATATTCCTAATTTAATTTCATATTGTTTCTACTAGCTTTTCTTCCAAGTAAGGCCCTTGCTCCTAGTAGCGATGCCCTTTGTTCCTAGTAGCTTCTTGAAAAAGGGAAGATGTTTGTATCCTTCAATGAGGCCTCCCGTTGCACAAGTTGCAATGAACCTGCTTCAGTCTTTGATTTTGCTTGAACTTCCACCGAAGACCTTTTTTGTCTCCTGGGCAGGAAAGCAATAGTTAAGCCAACACCTTACGGCCTAACCGCTGTCACCATGACCTCAGCGATCACACCAACTCTGTGAGATCCACCTGGTTCACCTTGTAGCCAGTGACGTCGGAGGGCGCTGCGCAAGCTTCGGAGATGCACCCGGCCAGCGAGTACGCCTCTCCTGCGCATGGAATCTCTATGTGACTCCTCAGCGCTTGCTCTCCCCCAATAGCGACTAGTAACAAAGGGCATCGCTACGAACGGAGCGATCGGACGCTACTAGCGGCGCTCCTGGCCTTACTACTAGGAACAAGAAGCTACTAGGAACAAGGGCATTACCACATGTGATCCACACAAACCTTCCCCTCTAAGGGCTTTTGTCTTGAGACCACCAAAGGTAGGGCTTCCAACCGTTTCAAGACCAAAAACCCAGCCCTTTTGAAAGCCTGCGGTGGTAGAGAATGTATCTGTTTGTAAACCAGCGTTCCTAACTCTTTCTTCTTACTTATTTCTCTTGTTGTCTTTAGACCTTTAAACCTTTTCTTCTTCCTTTCTTTCTTCTTTACACCTGACTTTTTCTTGTCTCTCCTGCTTTGAGGCAAATGTTGGCAGAGCCTTGGCCTTTGTAGCCGGCAGCACAGGCCACCGTGACGGCGAAGCGCTTCATTGTGATGCCTTCGAAACGAACATTCAGAGCGACGAGACAGCGAAACAAAACCAAACAAGAAAGACATCAACAAAGAATTCCATTCTTCGAGAATTCCATTTCAGACTTGGGACTTGAGGCGTTGTTGTCTTTTTTTGCCTGCTATGTTGTCTTCATGCTTCACTTTCTAAGTTCTCTCTCTATCTAATTTAGTTTCATGCGTCCTTGCTCCCAGTAGCGATGCCAGGAGCCCCTAGTAGCGTCCTTCTTCTCCCGTCTTGGTTTCTTCCTGCCGCGTGGCTCAGCTCCGTCACAGTGTAGTTCGAAGTGTCAGGCCGGAGGCAGGACTTGGTGGGCAACGCGGACGGAAATGGGAACGCTGGGCAGGTAATAGCTCATATGGGACAAAATGTTAATTCTAATTAAAGCTTCTTGTTTCCAATAGCAAACATTGTTACTACTAGTAAGGCACTTGTTACTAGAAGCGATGCACTTGTTACTAGTAGCTTGCATGTTCCATCTACGTACGACATCGAGAATTCCAGCGTCCATCTCGAATTCACGAGTGCCGTCATAAGGTCTGCGGTCTGGGACAGTCGCTGGAACGATCGACTTGAGAGTTCACCGCATGTGAAAAAAAGGGGAGCCATAGGATGCCATACAGAAGAAGCCTCACCTGCCATTCCCACCTGCCACAAACTAAACACCCGATGAGAGTGAAGTCTCACCCTTTCCATCATGCCACGCAAGCAGAAAGAAACAAGTTTCAACAAAACACCATCTGTGCTAGGACTTCATTTCGTGTTTGAACCGAATCTCTGATTGGAAAAAACATCTCTCAACAGTTTCTCCGACTAGTGGGTTCCAAACCTGTTTGAAAGCGATGCTTCTACCGAAGGCAAAACCTGCCGTCTGACCGACTTTCTGCAACTCAGACACCGGAACATGCAACTCCTAGCGGAGCGCACGCAATTCCGGTGACCGGAAGTGATCAGTTGCGTATTAGGTTGGAGGCCATCGCTACTAGGAGCAAGGACGCTACTAGGAGCGCTCCTGGCCTTACTACTAGGAACAAGAAGCTACTGTAACAAAGGCCATCGCTACTAGGAGCAAGACACTATTAGGTTGGAGGCCTTCGCTCATAGGTTGGTGACTGGATGTGACCAGTTGTGCTTGTTAGTTCTTCGAAGATTGTTTGGGGAGGACGTGCTCCTGAGGCACCCGATGGGGCAAAAATGTGCGGACGAGAAATCCGGAACTCGTGGTCGCATTCATGCCTCTCTGAGGTATTGCGAGATAAAGACATACATTCCTTGAAAGGATTGAAAGGAACCTATTAGCGATGGCCTCAAACCTAATAGTGTCTTGCTCCTAGTAGCGATGCCCTTTGTTACTAGTAGCTTCTTGTTCTTAGTAGTAAGGCCAGGAGCGCTCCTAGTAGCGCATCCTTGCTACTAGCGATGGCCTCCAAGGGTCCTTGAAGGATTGCCATTTTCCCCGCCTTGGAGCCCTCCGGCAGCCCTGCGTCGCTTTCGCCCATCAGCGCATGGCTGAAGTCGCCGCTCAGAGTGACCCCCTTAGGCGCTGCGGGAAATGGGGGGTTAACATGGCTCACAGAAAAGAGAATTAAAGGACCGGATAACCCCACATATGAATCTTTACGAATCTTAAGTTTCTAAAGCACAAAGCAGTCAGAGTCTCAATAGCTTCTACAACACGGCCTTGTCAGGAAGTTATATCAGATTTACACAACAGAGGGGTGGGAGAGAGGTGTGGGAGAGTGATGTGCACGGGGTATGCACGAGGCATTGTGCAGACATGTGTGCACAGCCACAACTAGCCGAAGCAAAGCCCCATCGCTCTGCCGACGTAAAACCCTATAGCCAAGCTCTTTTTCATCGCTCAGACGAAATCAGGTCGTGTTGGTGAACCTGGGCGTCGTCATGAGTATTACATGCAAAAGACGTCATAACCGTCTGTAAAAGTGAAGACCAAAGATTTTGTTTGTCACTGTCAGCGCATCATTTGCGCCTTGGAATCTATGTCGCAGATCTTTCCAATTGGGACGATGCCGTACCTGCATATGGTCGAACGAGGTTTCCAAGAACCATGCAGCAGTCGATCGATTTTTGCATAAAAGCACAACAGGACTGAACAAATAGAGACACAGCCAACTGCACAGGAAATGGTCCACGTTTCGTTTATGGTCGTTTTGACATTGAAAGCGCACCGTTTGCGCCTTGGTATCTGCTTCGCAGCGCTTTTCCAAATTGGATCGTGTCTGCAAGAAGATACTCCGAAGAATGTTGCCAAAAGAGCGAAAACAGGACTGAACACACAGAGGAGTGGACATAGACACAGCCAACTGTATAGGAAATGAGCCACGTTTCGTTTATGGTGGTTTTGACATTGAAAGCACACCGAAACTCCTTTGTTGTATCGGCTGCCATGTCAGCAGCTGAAGCGGCTCTCCAAACAAATAGCACTGGCTGCAAACCCTATGCAGTGATACTGCGCAGACAATGCGCCCAAACAGCATTTAGAAAATTCACAGAAACCGGCCTGGTAGATCCGACACACTTTCTGAAAACCTGCGCGTCAGATATCACTGGCTGCAAACCCTATGCAGTGAGACTGCGCAGAGAATGAATCCAAACAGCGTGTGTAAAAGTCAGATGCAGCGGCCTGGTAGATCCTGCACACTCTCTGCAGCAAAGCTTGAGCACTCCCGGCGATTCAGTTCTGGTTTGAAACGTGATTCCAAAACTGCAAAGCTTCTGAGACACTTCTGAAATCTAGCCATGTCACGCCGATCACGCAACAGCCCCTGCCACGAATTCTGCACATGGAGGTTCACAAAATGCTGCGCCTGCCACGAAATCTGCACCTGGAGGTTCACAAAGTGCTACAGCCAGAGCCTCTAACGGAGCATGGAGGTTCACAAAGTGCTGCGCCTGCCACGAATTCAGCACGTGGAGGTTCACAAAGTGCTGCGACTGCCACGAATTCTGCGCGGCAAGAAACAAGTGAATACTCTAATCACAATGGAGGGACGGACCGGCGACCACCGCAGACAACCGCAGACTACCGCAGACAACCACTGACAACGCAACAGCCAGAGCCTCTAAGGGAGCATGGAGGTTCACAAAGTGCTGCGCCTGCCACGACTTCTGCGCGTGGAGGTTCACAAAGTGCTGCGCCTTTCACGAATTCTTCAAAAAACAAGTGAATACTCCAATCACAATGGAGGGACGGACCGGCGACCACCGCAGACAACCGCAGACAGCCGCAGACAACCCAACAGCCAGAGCCTCTAACGGAGCATGGAGGTTCACAAATTGCTGTGCCTGCCGCGAAATCTGCACCTGGAGGTTCACAAAGTGCTACAGCCAGAGCCTCTAACGGAGCATGGAGGTTCACAAAGTGCTGCGCCTGCCACGAATTCTGCACGTGGAGGTTCACAAAGTGCTGCGCCTGCCACGAATTCTGCACGTCAAGAGACAAGTGAATACTCTAATCACAATGGAGGGACTGACCGGCGACCACCGCAGACAACCGCAGACAGCCGCAGACAACCCAACAGCCAGAGCCTCTAAGGGAGCATGGAGGTTCACAAAGTGCTGCGCCTGCCACGAATTCTGGTGACGTCTCGGTGTGTGTTGTCACAAAGTGCTGCGCCTGCCACGCAATCTACACATGATCTCTGTGTGTGTTGTCTCGGTGTGTGTGTGTGATCTGAAAGAATGGAAGACAGGAAGAAGGAAAGGACAGGAAAAAGGAAAAAGGAAAGAAAAACAGAGGGAAGAGAAGAGAAGAGAAGAGACGAGAGGAGAAGAGAAAAGAAGAGAAGAGAAGAGACGAGACGAGACGAGAAGGGAAAATGAGATGAGATGAGGAAGGTCCATCTTGGCCAACCTTCAGTTTCCCCAAAACTCTAGGAACCACATCATTAGCGCGAGCTGTCCTGCGTCCTAAGTAGTAGCTACTTGCAGGTAGCAGCTACCTAGCTAACTAAAACACAAAGGAAGCCTGACCTGGGCACAAACTCAAAGTGTGGACCCCAAACTCTGCCACGTCACGGTTTTGACAAATGCCTTCTGCTGCGTCGAATGAAGCAACAGGGACACGGACCAACCTTGGCAGCCACAATGGGCAAAGGCTAGCAGCGCTCGGGTAACGGGTCTTTGCTCTTTCCTTTGGACTAGCTCAGTCTTTCTTTTGCGACTTTCTCTTTAAGGCAAATTCAAGCGAAGGAAAGTCTGCCTGAACTTTTTTGCAAACTGATTGGGGCAACAAAAAGTGAAAATGACCATAAGGCAGGCAAAAACAAACGCTCCTCAACATGTTTTCTTCCATGTTTACTCCTGAAAGGTTCAAACCGAGATGCTCTTCACCTGCCGCCCCTGCTCCTCCGGGCTATTTGTGCCTGCAACTGAGACGTCAGAGACATCAGGCTGGAGACAGGGTCTGGTGGGCTGTTTGCATTGTCTAGTAGTAACAATGTTCGCTACTAGGAACAAGTGCATCGTTTCTAGTAACAAGTGCCTTACTAGTAGTAACAAGAAGCTACTAGTAACAAGTGCCTTACTAGTAGTAACAAGAAGCTATTAGAATTAAATTGACTAATAGCTTTTTGTTACTACTAGTAAGGCACTTGTTACTAGTAGCCAATCATTCAGTGGGCTTTTCGCAGAAGGAACAAGAAGCTATTAGGAACAAGTGCCTACTAGTAGTAAGAATGTTCGCTACTAGGAACAGTCTAGACACCTTTTTACAGCTTTCTTTGCCTTTGATGTAGCAGCGTCCTTGCTCCCAGTAGTAAGGCCCGGAGCCCCTAGTAGCTTTAAGCGATGAAAGTTGAAATTTGGACTCTCGAAAGCCGAACCAAATCCCCAAGGCCTGACGCTGCGACGGAGGAGAGAATCTGCAGGCTAAAGTCCACCTTTGCCTCCAAGGCACTCAGCGGGATATCAAGCCTGAGGCGTGTATCGCTTTGTCGAGGCTGCCGCGTTGAAGTGAGGCTTTTGACCAAGTGCATCCCTTCTTCGTGCTTCATTAAACACCTTTCCGTATCAACTAGTGCTACAAGTCCACTACCCAGGCTTAAGCCCCTCAGCTTCTTTCCCTGGACAGCCCCTTACATTTTGCCACTTTGAAGCTTTTCTTGTCCGCTCAAAAATCCACTCCAATGACTGGCTGTCTAGGACTCCTCAAGCTTTTCAGTAGGTGTCTTGGTTCTGCTCTCCATCTATCATCTCTTCAGACAGGTTTCATGACATCATAGGCTGAGTTCTCATTCACCGGGAAGCCTCGCAGCCGAGTGGGTCTAAGACGTGCCCAATATTTTTTTTCCGAACCTATGAGTGCTTTCGTGTTTCTATTAGGAACAAGAAGCTACTAGGTGGAGGCCATCGCTACTAGTAACAATCAAGCTCATTTATTTATTAGTTTGTATATTATTGCAATTCTTACTTTATAATTATATGTTATTTATTGTGTTTTCGTGTTTCTTGGATTTACGGCTATTTTCCTGAAATCTTCTAGGTTGGAGGCCATCGCTTCTAGATTCTAGGTTGGAGGCGATTTGTATCTCTCAATCTGCAAACACATGACTGATAAATCTCCTCCGACTGAGTGCCCAGCTGATGTTCTGCCCTGGAACCACATTGGAATTCACAGTGCCCTGAGATGCATTCATGTGCATTCATGCACCCACATCAGCATGCGTTTGCGATGACGCGGCTTAGACGTTTTCTTCCAAATTCTTCTGTCTCTGTTCCTGAAAGGAAGTGCAGGATTGTTCTCGGCCTTCTTGCTTGGCGTGGCTTCCAACGACCACATCATGGGCGACTTGCAGCTGATGCCTGTGCCAGGTGGGCTGTGACGTCGTGATGTGAACTGCTCTCTGTGATTCCAATTGGACGGCGCCCAAAAAACGGACACCCGCGATGCGGCTATGCGGCTTTTCAAAAGAGAACCAGTAAGGCGGATTTGTGATCAACAATCCAAACATCAAGAAAACAAAGCCCTCAAACTGGTCTCAATCCCTCTCAAAAGCACCCTTCCCCTTCTTTGATGTATGCTCCCTCACGGCTGAGTGTTCCGGACACTCGCCACCAGAGTCGAAGAGCTTGGCGCCACCGAACTCACCGACGGTGGTCAATGGGTCCACGAAGGACTCCTGTGAGCAAAACGGGCAAACCGGGAGCAAGGACGCTACGAACGGGGCTCCTGGCATTACTACGAACGGAGCAAGAAGGCTACTAGGAGCTTTTCTATGGAGGCCATCGCTAGTAGGTTGGAAGCAGGAAGACATGACAGATGATTGGCGTCCGGCTTTTCTTCAAAACTACATAAGGCTCACAAGAGGAACCAAATCATTAGTGCGAGCGCTCCTGCATCCAGTTACTAGCTGTTTGCTAGGAGCTAACAAGTTTCTTTCTTACTCAATCAAGAAGGCGCCTACTTAAAAGGCTCTTATGTCGGAGGCCATCGCTAGCAGGGTGGAGGCCATCAGACTTTCCAGGGCCAAGGGACTGCCTTGAGCTTAATTTGCAGGTAGCCCGGGACCTTTCCACGTCGGATCCTCAGTCTTGTGGCCACCGGGCATGGCCGATGCCGGAACATGGAAAACACTTCAAACTCAATTGAATCTTTGCTTTCTTTTGTTTTTAGGAATATTTTGATTTTATCTAGAGATATATTTTGGATTCTAATGGTTTTTTGTTTCTTTCCTTCCATCCTTTCGCATGCTTCTTGCTTTCTTTATTTGGATCATCTGAGATACCACTAGCCCCAAGCATTGCCGAGCTTCTTGGCGCCCCAAACCAGGGTCTGCAGCGCCAAGAACTTCATTATCGCCAGCCACATGGCTGCAGCTTCCTGACGCGTGCGTGGAAGATGGTAGGCTTTGGAAAAATTGAACAGCTATCTGAACATGGTTGGCAAATGACACAACCACTCACTCAGGTCTTGGACTGTCAGGTTAAACTTCGCTACCTCTTGCTTCCAAGATTGCTTCCTAAGGACACTTTCTTTTACTCGCAGGCACTATTAGGTTGGAGCTAGTAACAAGAAGCTACTAGGGGCTCCTGGCATCGCTACTAGGAGCAAGGACGCTACTAGGGGCTCCTGGCCTCACTACTAGTAACAAGAAGCTACCAGTAACAAGGGAGACCGCGAGGCGTTTCTCGAACCACTCTGGTTCTTCAAGGAAGCTTAGGCGCGGAAGCAAAGAATGCGTACGTGCGTGCGTTGAGTGTGTTGTAGGCCTGCTTATGTCTTACAGAGTCTTACAGTCTTACCATGTCTTACCTCTTTCAACTTAAGCTTCACGGCCTACGTACCCTCTCCATTTTTCTTAACAAGAATATCATTGAAATCTTTAAAGCACCAGGAGCACAGCTGTGATGTTTGCACAAGGAGTCACAGCGAACGCCCTCATCCGCCTGGTTTCCCACAGCAGGGCCGGTAGAGTCGACCCGCTGCTGGGACTTTGAGCCGAATGGCGAGAGAAAAAATGAAGAAACCGTTTTGTAGAAAACATCCTTTATTAGATATTAGTATTGTTTGTTGATTTATTCATCTTTCTCTTGTTATTTTATATCTATATTTACATTTTCTTTTAAAGGGGGGTAGGCTGTAGAGGTAGCTAGTAGCTAGGTAGCTAGTAGTTGCAAGTTAGCTACTACTGACAGGACGCAGGAGAGCTCGCTTGCGCTTGTTCAAGGAAACTCCCCCCGCCGCCCTGGCGAGCGGGGGGGAAGCTTCCTTGAAGAAGCGCTCGCACTAATGATTTGGTTCCTAGATTTTTAGGGACTTAACCTTTTCCTCCTCTTGTCCTCCTCTTGTAGGAATCCGTTCAAATCATTCAATACATCAGCTTTCCAAGAGGTCTCCGCAGAACTGTCGAGGTTCTCACACCCTTGGACCGAGCCACAAGCGCCTCCCAAGTCTGGCTGGCTATGAAAGAGATCATTTACCCTGAAGTGTTTCATCTCAAGTTTGTGTTCAACAAGAAGCTACTAGGAGCAAAAGGGCATCGCTACGAACGGAGCAAGAAACGCTACTAGGGGCTCCTGGCCTCACTACTAGTAACAAGAAGCTACTAAGAGCAAAGGGCATGTGTTCTTATGATCCCCTTTGCGACTGAAACAACTTCATTCGGCCACTGCAGCTGCTGCAAACAGGCTCTAGGGCCTCTGGGGTTTGCACGAGAGCCTTGAAATCACCTCCTTCAGTGTCTCCCCCCTCTGCTGCGCCCTTTTTGGGTTTCAAGCAATCGTCACTGGTCGTTGCAGGGTTCATCCTTCTTAAACCAAGAGAAGGACAACATGGCAGCTCAACCCATGGATAATTCTCTTAACAAAGCACCTGTAAGTTTTTTTGAGCTGACAGAGTAATATCTTAGATCGACAAATGCTCATGGCCTTAACTTCCCATAGCCATCTCAGCTGATTTCCTCGAACAAAAGGAAGGCGTTGACAATCCAGCAGCTCTCTTCACTTGGAAAGGAAGTCCAAGACTCCTGAATCCAGCACCAAGTCGAACCACTTCCTCATCTTGCATCTTTTTACGCACAAGTGGTCCAGTACCAAGCAGTCGTATAACGACTTGTGTCTCGAGTTAAAGTGAAGTTTCCCGAGAAAATCTAGAAACCAAATGCATAATGCCAGCGCGAGCTTTAGCGTGAGCTATCCTGCGCCCAGTAGGTAGCTACTTAAGCTGCTAGTGACTCCCTAGCTACTACCTCCCTCTACCTACCTCCTCTACACGGCCTACCCCCCCCCCACGGGCTAAAACAACAACTCCAAGGATCGAGGAGATGATCGGGTCCACCACTTTTGACAAGTCCAAGTCCTTGGAATCCAAGTCACGATCGCTCCTAGTAGCGTCCGATCGCTCCTAGTAGTGATGCTGGGAGCCCCGTTCGTAGCGAACCTTGTTCCTAGTAGTAAGGCCAGGAGCCCCGATCGTAGCGTCCTTGCTCTGATTCATGATTCATGGTGATCTACAGTGCAGGCAAGTTGATCAACATTTCTCACTCAGGTCGATTTTTCCTTCAGAATCTACGACTGATCAGTGGTGACAACAGTGAGCACAATTGTTGTTAACATGGTCTGTCTTAAGTTGATCTCAGTTCATCTCCATTCCTTTACCTGCCCGGAGATTCGATCAAAGATGACTGACACAACCGCACAAGCTCCTCAGAAAACGTCAAAAACGGCCTCCATTTTTCTTCCCTTCTCCCTCCGACTCAGTGCAGCTTGTGCTCGATGTCGGCTTGGAAGAGCGGCTCTGCATCCGGAGGCTTCGGTGAACCTTCTTCATCTTGGAGGAAGCCTTGGAACGGCAATGCTTTCGAATTCAAGAATGCTGGCAGTAACAAAACACTTCCAAAAGTCTTCATCCAAGAGTTCTTAGTTCGGTAGGAGGCTATTGCTATTAGGTTGGAGGCCATCGCTTCTAGGTTGGAAGCCATTGCTATTAGGTTGGAGGCCATTGCTATCAGGTTGGAAGCCATTCCTATTTGAAACAAAGAAACAAAAACATGAAGAACGGTCTAATATAAGTTAAGTTCCCTACAAATTTAGGAACAACATCATTAGTGTGAGCTATCCTGCGTCCAGTAGTTAGCTTACTTGTAGGTATTATCTACCTCAATTCCTGACGGGAGCAGGCTATAGATTTGAGGCTCTTATCCCAACTCAGCCAGATCTCCAGGGCACGTCCTGGGATGTTGGTAATGACATCTTTGGATTGCTGAAATGAGCTCTCGTCAATGCCCTCACCTGAGAGGTTTTACTCACTGGACAGAACAAGAAGCCCAATGGATTCAAAACCAAAGCACATTCACAGGCAGACTTTCCTTGGTCCATCAAAGAAGAGAAGAAAGAAGGGGACCAAAGAGATCAAAGAAACAGTGGAAAAAAGCATGAAAAAAACATCTGACATTGACACCCCACAACACCCACTGCAGGCCCAGCCGGCCGGTTTGGAACCGTGCGCCACTGAGTTGCCACTGCGTTTGCCAGCGAGTGGCGTGTGGTGGTTGTGGTGCGGGCTGTATAGAAGTAAACGCTATCGAAGCATCTCCACGCAAGAAAAGCAGCAAGCCTTAGGATCCAGCCTCCGAAGCGAACGAAGCGAACTATTCTCGGCAACTTTTGCTTGCTTTTGTGGTGTTGAACCTGTATTTCAGGACCAGTCTTTGTTCACTTCTTTGTTCAACAAACAGTTTCCTTTGTGTCACTGAAAGCAGCAACAACCTGGTCATTCAAAGCTTGGGCCTTTCTTTGTGGCTTCCACCAAAATGAATTGGATATTGCTGGTAAGGGTACTAGAGCTTTCTAGAGCCTAGGAGGAGGGTATTCTTTCATGAAAGACTTCGCAAAGCTTTGCACCAATTTCACCCAGGCAGCAGGAAGGGTGCCACACCCGGCGCTGTGCTTGGCGGTGGATCCTTCTGTGGAGGCTCGGCACGTTGCACAAAAGGCCTCGCCAGAACAGATCGCGGTCAATGCTGGAAGCTCAGCTGTTTTCCCTGAAAATCTAGGAATCAAATCATTAGTGCGAGCGCTTCTTCAAGCTTTCTTGAAGAAGCGTGAGCTATCCTGCGTCCAATTAGGAGCCTACTCCCTTACTAATGAAGTAGGCGCCTATTCAATTTTTAAGTAGGGAGCAGGTTAAAAGAGAAAAAAGAGAAAACAAAACGGTTGTGGAACGGAAGACGGGACTCCCATGGACGCTCGCCTCCGATGCATTCTGCCCGTTGGGGCCGTACGGACACTCCTGGGCCGATCTCTCAAAGCGTCCTTGTTCCTAGTAGCGATGCCAGGGGAGCCCCTAGTCGCGTCTTGCTCCTAGTAGTAAGGCCAGGAGCCCCTAGTAGCGTCCTTGCTCTTGGTAGCGATGCCCTTTGCTCCTAGTAGCGTCCTTGTTCCTATCCGCATCCCAAACATGCAAAATCCCCTTGCATGACAAGGCTAGCCGCTAGCCAAACCGATTTATGAACGTTGAGGCATAATTGAAACTCACATGAACGGCGAAGATCACGCGGTCACCAAAACGTTCACTGTTGCTAGTGTCCAAACTGGATACACTTGGTCTTGACACAAACATGAGAAAACACGTGTCTCCGTCGAAGCCAAGTCCGACTGTGTCTTACTCCTGGAAGAACTTGTGCATGGAAGAACGAAAACGACGCCAGCGCTCAACAGGGCGAGATAGCCCACATGGCGCATGTGCGAAGTGTGAAGTTGAAGCTGTTAGCTAGTAGCTTCTTGTTACTAGCAGAAATGCACTTAGCTACGGCTACTAGTAGCTTCTTGCTACTAGTGATGCACCTTGTTGCTAGTAGCGATGCCCTTGTGAAGCTGTTTGAAGGATCTACTGAGTGCAATGTGTTTGCTGTCGTGTGGTTGATTTCACCAGCTGTCTGAATATATCTTGGACAAACACTGCAAATTATCTTCATGTCACTTTTCGGGTTTTCTGGCTAGATCCATGACAGCATCTTGATCAGCTGTCAGATGGGCTTATCCGTTGGCACAAGCTGCTTCAGTGTTGAGAAAGGGTCCAGATTGGAGTGGTGCGTTCGCCGTGTTTGTGAGTAGGACATGGATATTTCTTCCAATTCTGTGCTAACTATCTTGCGCGTTAAGACAAAAGCTGAGAGATAAAAACCTCCGCGGTTGCGAACTTGGCTGCTGCCGGGAACCTAATTTGGGCCCACATTGGCCCTTGTCAATGGAGCCTCAGTGAACCCAGCTTGGCACGTTCTTTCCGCCAAGGTCAGCCGTCAAACCATGAGAAACAAATCGAGTGCCTTCGCTGAAGTCGCCGGAAAGCACACCGACCCCATCACCAAATCATCAAATGACCTTCGCTGTGCCATGGGCTGTAATAGAAGTAAGGCGCGGGAAATTGATTCTAAACAACATGTTTGATTTAATTCTAATAGTCTTTTTTTACTACTAGTAAGGCACTTGTTACTACTAGCGGCTTTACTAGCGAGGCACTTGTTACTAGCTCTTTTTTCTGCACGACTTTCGCCGGCGGTGAATCGATGGTGGACTGTGGACCTGCAGGGTGTCCCGATGGCAAAAGTCGGACTCTTCGGACGAGGTCACTCCACGCGAGTTGGGACGCGGCTAGGTTGGAGGCCGTCGCTAATGAACATACCATCACTAAGGTAGGAGCGATCGGACGCTACGTTCGGAACTGTCGAAACTCCGCCAGGACTCGAGTGTAATCGAGACTTCATCCACCGTTCCACTGCTGATCCCACACCGCGCTACCGCGGTGCTTAGAGCATTTCGCCGAATTAACGGTTCTGCGCCGAATCTTCTGAACAGCAAACAGATTGTCACAGGGAAAGAGAATTGCAACTGAAGGCTTCTTTTTGTCCGATGAAAGAATTCCTCGAACAAAGTCGAAGAATCCTGCAGATTCTTTGCAAAGTCAGTTTGACACCTAGCGCAAAAACTCAGGAAAGACACTG